CTGTAATTCTCCAAAAGCATAATCTTTGTATATATCTGAGTGATTTTTTTTTTAAATGCTAAATCTGAAAACAATTGCACTAACCATTTGGCTTTACACAATTGAGAGAAAATAATTGGTTCACTGATTATTTACATAGAGACTAAGAAGATATTACTGCTACCAATTTTATATGATAGGCTTTAATGTTAATGAAAGTATGATTTTTTTTAATTTTATGAGTAATAGCCATTTGAAGTTGAAAAATAAAACAAAATACTAATTGTAGTTTATTTTATGTTAAAACAGAAACGTTCACTTCTGAATTTTTTTCATCATATCAGAAGCCAATTTTTGTTCCTTTGAAGTTCTCTTCTATGTTCTTGATTATTTTGTATAGATAGCTTCCCAAAAAGGCCCACTTAAGGTTAACACCTAAAATACAGTTATTCTAATGAAGTCCTATGTACAGGGTAATGTCTGTATCTAGCAGATGAGAGTTCATCATTCTAATAGGATTTGTTTTGGTGCTGTACAAACTGTGATGGTGAGACACGTAAGTAAAAAATCAGAAGGAATTTAGGGATAAGATTACTNTGATAACTAGGTGTTCCCAAACTGTTAAATATGCTCTTAATTTGTATTTATTGAAAGACCATTAGCTTTTTGCCACAGAATTTTTATTATCTTACTGTAAATTAATTACGGATAAGAAATTTATGAATTCATATCTTGACTAGAAGTTTTCCTTTTAATCATTATAGAGTGGGAGAAGCTATAAACCATTAACCCTTATTTTGCTAAAATAAAAGGTTGGGATTAACATAGAAAATCTGACAATATCATGGAGTTTGTCTTTCTTTTAAAGCTTATTAAAAGTGCCTTTTGGGAGGAATGGGCTTCTATAACGTACTGTAATTAAATTTACATACAACCAAAAGATGTTTTCAGAAATGTCTTACCTCATAATTTAAGTCAAATATCACTGGGTAAATCCTAAATAACTTTTGGATAAATTATAATTCCTTTCTACAAGTGCATTTGAGTAGAAACATAAGGCATTATCAATTATATTTATGTTTAAAATATGTGCTTGTTTGTATATTTTGTATTAAATAAAAATAAAAAACACTTTATACAGTTCAGATACATCTAATTCAGTATAAAAGCCTATACTTTTTCAAATACACTCTCATATTCACAAAAAAAGTTAAAAACCAGCATTACCATTAAAAAAGTAATTAAATGGTTATAAACTTCTGCTCATACAACTTTAATAATTGTTAATAAAGCACTCAATTTGAGTGTCTAATTGTCCTTGGTATAACAAATGTTCAGAATGTAGAAGACAGCATCGTAGAAATGTTCCGGATATTTGNCTTAGTCTATATGAGTATGGGTGAGGTGGATCTCTTGAAGGCAGCATATAGTTGGATCCTCCTTTTTAATCCAGTCAGCCAGTCTTTGTCTTTTGATTGGGCAATTTAAGCCTTTTACATTAACAGTTGTTATTGAGAAGTGTTGATTTATTCATAGCATTTTATTGTTGTTTGGTTGTCATAGGTGTCTTTTGTTCCTTGTTTTCTGATTTACTGTTTGTTTTCTGTGTTTGTTGGTTCCTTAGGATGTAGATAGCCTTTTTGTTTGCTTGTATTCTCTTCATGTATGCCATTTTTATTATAATAGTAGGTTTAGATTTTTCTTGTGTTTTTATGGGAGTGGTGGTTATTTTTCAGGAGCCAAACCCAGTACTCCCTTGAGAATTTCTTGTAAGGGTGGTTGTGTGGTGGTGAACTCCCGCAGTTTTTGTCTGAGAAATATACTATTTGCCCTTCATTTCAGAAGGATAGCCTTAAAGGGTAGAGTATTCTTGGTTGACAATCTCTGGCTTTTAGTATTTTGAATATATCATCCCATTCCTTTCTGGCTTTTAGAGTTTGTGATGAAAAGTCTGATGTTAGCCTGATTGGGGCTCCCTTATAGGTGATTTGACGCTTCCCTCTTGCAGCTCTTAAGATTCTCTCTTTGTCTTTGAATTTTGCCAATTTGACTATAACGTGTCTTGGAGAGGACCTTTTTGGGTTGAATACGTTTGGAGATTGTTGAGCTTCCTGGATCTGAAGATATGTGATTTTTTGTATACCTGGGAAGTTTTCTGCCACTATTTTGTTGAATATGTTTTCAATGCA